GGCGATTTCCGCTCTTCTCATCTGCACTTTTTTTCGCTAAGAATGGAAATAATACGCATATTATAAATACAAAAATTTCATCGTTCTTTGTTAACACGTTAGGTTAGGTGGAGCAGTGAAGTCGCAACTTTTGATGAAATTTGCCAAGAAGTAGTGTTTTTCGACCGCAAACTAGAGAATCGAACACGTACCTGTGCAGACAAGTCATACTCATGAAGTATGTGAAATCTGTCTTACGTCACGTAAATAACTGATAGCAATTCTGTGGGCCATTTATGCAAATTCTACCTGAGTGGGATGGTTACCACTGTGGGTGGAGCCAGGGTTGCCACTGGTGGCTACTTCTCGTCAAAGTGGCGGATTTGTGATGCCCGTGGCAACCTAAATAAATGAATGGCAATATGACGAATTTTCTTCGATTTTCGACTGAGGAGTTCAATAAGTTATGCATTCTATATTCAGTGTCTTCAAAGCGACTGGGTGACAACATTGTTTCTGATTTTTTCAGTTTAACATCCACCATACAAAGGCACACTTCACACGCAATTCAGTGTATCTGTACTGTACTTATTTGTCTTGTAAATCTCCTCACTTCACCCAGATCCTGAAGGCACTCCAGTTATGATGCGTCCGCCAGCAACCTCCTAGCAAAATGCAATTCAATGGACTGCTTTCTTAGGGAACTTAAGAGCTTTAATCTTCTCTTAAGTTCGTTTTTGAATAGGCTAGGTGACTGTTAGGTGGTATGTTAAGGCCACAGTACCAACTATACTAAATAGCTCGTCGGCTTCTTCACTGTTGTCGGATCCTCTAATTTGGTATGTAGAGTTTAAAGTTGTTATTAAAACACTTTTTGGGCCAGTCGAAAGTTTGTGTTCTTTAGGCAGCCTTCATAAGCACAAGAAACAGCACTGAGGCGGATGTGTAGTGTACGCCTGAACGCCTAAAATGCCTGGCGCGGGCATGGCGAAGGTTACGCACTACTTTCGAATTTATTTCTGTTGTTTTGTAATCAAGTTGTTCAATTATCAGACACATGATTCTACCACAAAGACATTCTCTATATCTGCAGGAAGGCTACACACACAACCCCCTTCTTGCAGGAGCAACATCTTTGCCCAGTAATCCCTACAAGTGAAAGCATCACAAACTTTTGTTATGATGCGCTGTCATTTAGGAACACTTCTAGAGCATGCGTGCCCTTTCTCCGTGCTTCCATGGTGATGCGGCTGATGTGACTGGCATCAAAAAACGTCAATGCAATTTAGGGGTTATGAATGGCACTGTAGTGAACGTGTCTATACATAGTAAACAACTTTTTTAAAACTATAAGTGCGACAAATATGCAGATTGGCGACATTTTTTGGCGAAATTTGAAGAAAAATTGCCACATTTGGCGACCTTCCGGTAATCGCTTGGCGAATTTCTCTCAAAAGTCAGTGGCAGCTCTGGGTGAAGCTTACATTTATTCTTAGGCTGTAACCGACTATAGATGGCGTTAGTAATTTTCGTATCGTTGACGAATGGATGGACAGACAGACAGACAGACGAGTGGATGGATAGACCCCCTCTCATCATTCATTTTTTATGACTAAGCGATGATTAAAGAAGTTGTTTTATTTGTGAACCCATATATTCTTGCTTGAAGCGGTTAATATTATTATTTGTACCTCGCCTCGAAAAATCCTTTAGGACCAAACATTTGTTGAAATAAACTTATTGCTGAAATCTGCTGGGTTGTTTTTTCCGAGAAAAAAAAGCGGGGGAAAGTCGCCGAATACGAAATAGCCGTGTGCTCGCATGCCACCTTTCAAGCGCTTCAGGCGTTCTTTATTTGATACACGGCTGCGTTCGCTCATCACCGCATTGTACAAGGCTTCACACTCGTCAATGATGGACGCACCAATAGCGGGTTTGTATGCACGAGTATAAAATAGCGTAAAGCCATGCATAATGAACGAACGATGCCGGCAAACAGTCAAACAACGCTTGGCAGCGCTTGAGTAGCGGCGTGCAAAAGTCCGTCTAGGCTCCACTCGCTCGCTGGATTTCGTCACGAGCGGTTGCGCCCCCGCGATCTCTGACGACAGCGTAGCTCTGGCTTACTGGACTTGGCATTCGCTATCTCCGGACGCCGACAAGAGCTCTCGCCAGTGGTGCCCCATCCTGAGACTCCTGCAAGCGTGTCCATCTTTCCTGTCTTCTCCTCTTTCCGTCATTCGCTTTCCCTGCGCCTCGCTCTCTCCTACCTCTCTCTCTGTCTCTTTACCTTTTAATCCCTTCTCTACCCCACCCCTCGTGAGCTACTGTTGAGGTGTCCTCGCCCTGAGAGACAGTTATGGGGCTCACTTTTCTCTTCTTTTCATTTCAAATCGCACCCCCCCCCCCCCCCCCCTAGAGCACGTCTATTTTACACTTCAGTGCTTCGCGCGCTTTTGCTTTTTATTGAAAGAAAAACAAGCAGATATATTTCAACAAAAAATGCTTAGTTCTTTGAGACGATGTACAACATGAAGAGCTTCTGGTGATAATAAATAAGTTGGCCATATAAACCTAAGAACTTAATTAGCGCTTGGTCATCTAATAAATAAAAGGTATATGTACACACGACTACCACTAATATAAAACAGGTAAAACTTTTCCTAGAGTACACTTTTTTAAAAATCTTGGGTCAAGCAATCTGGGACCAAATGTCGGCCAAAAATTTAGAGCTCACTCAAACTCACACTCACTGATTTTTTTTTCTTAACCAAACTCACTCGAACTCACAGACAGCAAAATTTTCCCTCAATCGCACTCACTCGGACTAAGACTCACAATCTATTACTCACTTGGACCGACTCATTGAGACTCACAGCTCTGTCTGAGTGAATCGACTCATGCATCCATGTCCATGCTATTAGTTGTTTCATAGAAGGTTTCACTGCTTTTTAACACCAATATTTCACATGATCATCGCTCTACTTGGAGCTTTTGATCTCGCATCAATAAGTACGAGCTATCAGTGGTTGGAATACACTAAGAACATTTTTACAAAAAATTATTACTCAGACCAGATGTTACTCTTTTTCGTCTGGTCCATTCGAGTGTCTTGCGCATTTCGCCTGTCGCCTTCAGCCTTATTGCTACTAATGCAATATGTTCAGTATACTAAAATATCTCTACCTATTATTCACTTCATACAACTTACCTGTCTGTGTATTCACTAATCTGTGCTCTGCTGCTTGAATTATGATGTATGATCCCTCGCACATAATGATCCAAATTGGAATGCATGATATATTTTAATAAATATGTAACAGGCCTGCTGTCTACGAGGTGCCAGTTAGGCCCGCGCGTAAGACAATCGGCTTCCGTGCGTGGGTTCAATATATGTCCGAAACTTGCTTCCACTAACGCTCTTTCTTTCAAATTTATCGCGTCCTTTTTACAGTAATTTTCTTTGTAGCAATTATCGAGACGAAATTGCAACACTAGAGAGAGCTTGGGCGGATAACACGGCTTCCGAGAGCGATGGAGACGTGCCGTGGTGGTGCTGCCCTCACGACACACCTGGTGCGCAGCGCTGACTCAAGGGAGCAACGCTCCCTTTTAAATTATGCCGCACAACTTTTTGTGTATCAATCGAAATTTGTAAAAGCGCCTATTGGGGAAACCGTTAAGAAAACCGCCAGGCCTACGCGGAACGCGCAGTAGAGTCACATTGAAACTTAGAAGAGCGGCCTTTGAGAACCTTTTATAAACACTCTTTGGGTAACTGCTACAAGCACACTTGCTGGGTACCCACTACGCCATAAACAATCATAATTTTTGTGTATAGACGGCCAGAATTCATATGACATCCTTCGTCCTTCTTCGGAGAAGCGTGGTATCCGCACACTTGATAGGAAGTTTGGGCGTTTTTTTATGCAGGGTCTGACGGCGATGAAGATTTATGCCTGAAGTGGGTATGCGCCACAGTTAATAGGTGATGAAGAACAAGCTCTTGTAAGGGGTTGGAGCATTGGACGACCAACTTGTTACGCAATTGGCATTTTGTGATGCCTGGTTGTTCCTTTGATGTTCAAACGTTTTATTACTTATATTAATGCGATTCCTTTCCCGGCATCAAGCCCGGCTAAGGCAAGTTTCTGAACGAGTCCCAAGCAGCGGTATGGTTCAGCGGTAAAACACTGGGCTGGCACGCAGCAACGCATCGGACACAGGTTCGAATCCCATTGTGTCCTCGGTGTTCTTTATTTACCTAGTTTTTTCATTTCTTATTTCTTGCGATAGTGGTTGAGGACACGGGTGGCGGCGGACAACTACGGCGCCGAATGTGACCCATGTTTTGACCTCCTAACCGTTTTCACTGTAAAAGAAAGGGGGGTGGGGGGTGTAGAAGAACGTCGATGCTCTTTCAAGACAACCTCCCAGGAAGTAGAATATTCAGTATAAAATGGTCCCAAACGAACAAGAGTATTTATCTTGTAGCTATAGGTGACATAAAATGTTTACGTGTAATCTGTGCGCACCTTAACTATAGTAAAAGAGGATTATTGAGATCGCCCCGATACATACCCAATAGTATATATCTGGAGATTTGCCAAGATAGCTCTTGCACAGCCTGTGGCGAGGCTACCACTTTATCTCATATCCTCTGGGAGTGCGGGTAAGCCCTAGGTTCACAAAGGAAGAGTAGGACGCACTGCTGTGAAGTCCCGCCCATGAAGACCAAATCCTTGCCGTCCAGTGTGCCCTTTATCGCGCCGGCAGGCTAGACCTGCCAGTCCCGTCGTGGTATTAGCCAGGTGCGTGGTTTATCGCGTTTTGCATTACCCAATAAAAGTTTCTTCTCTCTCTCCAGGCACGCGCCACAGAATGACGGATGCGGACACACTACAAATGCTACAAAGCTGAGTCGATTGACAATAGGGGTATGCACCCCTTGCACTGCACGCGCATTTCTGGTAGAATTAACCCCTTCCCTCATCCATGCATTCATGAATGCTTAGCCACACCTGAACGTGCAGATGCTGGCGATGTAGCTGTAATGCGTCAAGACCACACCCTTGGGGGCTCCTGTGGATCCTGACGTGTATCCGATGGCGGCAGTGGCTTCTCTTGTGTTACTAGGAGACAAGGCTTCCACATCGGCGCACGGAAGGACGAAGAAGTCCAGGAGGGAGACGTAGCCGTCTATCCGATCTGTCAAGATTACCGCCTGAAAAGGAACGGATGCAAATGTCAGTGCGACTGGTCAGATAGTAGTATTTCAAGGCTGTATCTTTGTATGACCGGAACATTGAAATGGCGAAGGCAGAACGTACTTTGGACCGACATAATTATCAGGGTTTGATATCGCAGATATGGCTCAGGTGGTGTTAATTCAAACTAAAGTTTTGTTTTATGCTTTTCGGATAGGAAATTTTGACGGTGATCGAGCACCGATCCTCTTACTTCAACATCCGGACCATGTCACTGCAGCTTTAATGATGTGACCTTCATGCCTTACCCGAGCCGCTTTATTTAGTACAAATAACAGTATATAACCGTGGAGACAAGAGAGAGAGAGATAAAGATGCAAGGAAAGGCAGGGAGGTTAACCAGATGCACACCCGGTTTGCTACCCTGCACTGGGGAAGAGATGAAGGGGAGAAAATAGGTTGCAGAGAGATAAGAAAAGTACACACAATCACGAGCACACTCGGGGGAGCACACACAGTCTACAGGCGGTCGCTCAGGTTTGTTGACTTTAAGTAATGTAGGAGTGCTTTAGTCGCTTTCTGCGCAACTGAGGCAGATGTCCAAGGTCCCAGAATCTTCTGCACACAAAATGGTTTTGGATCAAGTTGATTCAAAACCATTCGGAGCTGGCATCACTGTGTGTCGTAGCAAGCGCAGCTGCACAGGAGGTGTTCAATGGTCTCTTCAGCTCCGCAGTAGTCGCATGTAGAGGTGTCTGCCATACCAATGCGAAAGGAGTACACCTTTCTGAATGCAACACTCAACCAAAGGCGGCATAACACTGTCGCATCGGAGCGGGAAAGCTGTGATAGTAGCTGTATCTTGAGCGAAGGATCCAGTTCATATAATTGACACCTTTGAAAGCTGGTAGACGACCAGAACGTGCGTGTAAGATCTCGAGCCAGCAGGTAAAGTTGTCTTGCTGCATCAATCCTTGATAGAGGATTCGGGACCACACGGGTTCCTTTATAGGCTGAGCGAGCTGCATCATCGGCTAATTGATTTCCGGTAATACCGATATGTCTACGCAGTCATTGAAATATAATACCATGCACTCGTGCCAGAGCTTCATGATGGCAATGTCTTATTTCATGTACCAATTGTTCATAATTCCTCCTACGCATGGCAGACTGCAAACTCTGAAGTGCTGCCTTCGAATCACAGAATATGACCTATTTTCCTGGGCGCTCTTGAACGAGATATTGTAGAGCAGCCCTTATAGCAGCAAGCTCTGATGCCGTAGATGTAGTCATATGTGACAACTTAAATTGGATTGTGACTGCTGCAGCCGGAATTACAGTGGCACCTGATGAGCTGCTGGACGAGACGGACCCATCAGTGTATATCTGCGTTTGGTCCAAGTACAACTCATGTAATAATAGTAGCATTGCTTGCTTCAATGCTACTCTGGAGTGATTTCTTTTCTTTTTGATACCCGGAATTTCTAGACGTACTTGCGGCTGGCCGAGGCTCCACAAAGGACATGCCATTCTCGTAGCTGGCGTATATCCCGATGGAATGCTGTTTAGGTGCTTGGCTATGACATCTGAAAACGTAGCACGTGGTCTTCCAGAGGGTAGAAGGGCCAAGTGGTGGTTGGGCACACGGCTAGCAGGTCGAATATGCGCTCTGAGGCAATCCACAAGTCTATATGTCCTGACCGGATGGTCTTTGGCAAGCACGATTGTGGCATAAGAAGAAGCGCATCGGGGCAGTACTAGGCAGATACGCAGCGCCTAACCCTGCAAACTCTCCAATGAATGAGTATTGGATTTGTAGGTGTTAGTCAGTACCGGCAAGCTGTAGCGCAATAGACCGAGAAATAGGGCTTTGTACAACTGTAGCATGGAGGCCACAGAAGTTCCCCATGCTTTCCCGCACATGAATCTCATTATATGCGCAATATATATGAGTCTCTTCTTCAAGTATGCACAATGCGGGCTCCACGAAAGACTTCTGTCGATTATTATGCCCAGGAAACGATGCGTCCGGGCATATTTGACACTCTGCCCATTGATGTAAACAGGGTATGGCGTCCTTGTTTTGCGTGTAAACGCCATCAACGCGCACTTCACTCTTGATATAGTTAGGCCTTGTTTCGGAAGGTAGGCTGTTGTGAGGGTTGCTGCCCGCTGTATTCGTGCACGCACCTGAGGGCGAGTAACTGCAGCACCCCAAAGGCAAATGTCATCGGCGTATATGGATAGGCACACCAACTTTGGCAGGACCTTCACCAGACCAATCAGGGCAACATTGAACAATGTGGGGCTTAAAATACCTCCCTGAGGTACTCCGCAGTAGGTGTAATGTTCAGTAGTTTTACCCTTATCTGTTTGCACAGAAAAAAAAAACTCCTGCCAGTCATATAGTCTTTTATCAATTCAAACATTCGTCCACCAATGTCCATTGCTGCGAGAGAAGTGAGGATGGCATCGTGAGCTACATTATTATATGAACCCTTCAAGCCAAGAAAGAGTGCCACTGATATACGCTTGCGACTTTTTTTCTTGCTGAACAAATGTCGATAAGTCAAGGACACAGTCGATGGAGGAGCGGCCCCGACGAAAGCCTGCCATGCAGGAAGGGTATTTGGTGTATCGTTCCAAGTACCACTCGAGACAAAATAGAACCATTCTTTCCATCACTTTTCCGAGGCAGCTTGCGAGGGCAATAGGGCGATACGCTGTCAAGTCCAATGGTGATTTTCCCGACTTCAGAAGTGGTATTAATCGACTTAATTTCCATTCTCTGGGAACACTGCCGCTGAGCCAGGAGTTGTTGAAGCACGTTAAAAGTTCTCTTCTGGTTTTTTGTCCAAAGTGTCCCAACACACTATAAGTAATACCATCGAGACCTGGCGATGACGTGCGCTTAGAAGCGACTAACGCACCTTCCACATCTTCCATGGTGAATAGAATGTCCATTTCTGGTAATCGCATCTCAGGAACGATCACGGCGTCGATGCTCTCGTTCATAATATTCCCTGCAACTCTCGTGCAAAATTCTTCAGCCACCTCGAGTTCTGTTTTTCCATGATGGAGTGCCAAAACTTTAAAAGGGTGCCGTTTTTGCGGAGAGGAGCGAAGACCACGAACTGTTCTCCAGATATATGACAGCGGTTTATGAGGGTCTAGAGATTCGCAAAATGCTTTCCAGCGTTCACTCTCCAGCTTGTAAATGCGTCGTTGAATTTTTTTCTGGAGCCGTTCTTTCCGTCAGGTCGTAAATTGATCTTGTGCGTCTGTATCGTCGTTCAGCACGCCTTCGTATAGCTCGTAATCTTTCCAGTTCGATGTCGAACTGTGTTATTTTAGACGACAATGGTAATTTACATTTGGACGCTTGAATAGCTCCCACGATGGTATTTGCCAGGCTGCAGGCGAGGCCTTCTTGGCAAGCGTACTCAACACGCGATGTAAACAACGACCAGTCAGTGCCAATTACAACACCAGAAGAGAAATTTTTTATGATACCATCGATCTTCACGTAGGTGAGTATGTGTTTACTCCCATGAGTCTCGATATCGCAAAACCATTTAACTTTGTGAGAGAAGCACCGTGACATCAATGTCAGGTCAAGGCAACTGACATATGTGAGACCCCGCAGACATGTTGGGGTACCATTGTTCATGACGGAAAGGTCGTAGTCGGAAGCTAATGTAACAATGTTCCGGCCCCTGGCATTCATCCTAGTGCTCCTATGAATACAATATATTCATCCTATGAGATACAATAGGCATTAGCTTATTAGCAAGTAGCTTGTTCCTTCCATTACGATGTAGAAGGTCCCTAGTTCGATCCCGGGTTTTGGTACCACTTGTAGAAAATCGAGCCTGCCATTGCGATAAAAAAGTTTTTTTTAGAATAAATCACGGCTTGACTCCGTGGGTTGCTGCGGCAGCGCGTGAATCGAAGGTCAGAACTCTCCGTCATTTTCGCCGTCGATCTTTTTCCAATAAACGTGTCGCTTCCCGGAGATTTAAATGATGCTCCGAATCTGCCGCCATGGCCACGGACATTTCAATAGTCTGACGAGGAAGGACCTGGTTCTGTCTTGGGACGTTTGGACCTCATAAAACACAGGAGGGGGACTTTACGTGGAGCTTCGGAGTATCTTATAATAACACTGGTTGTTGGGCTAGTTAGTGCATTTCATCAAGAAATCATATACAGCTGAAAAAATTAATGTACACAGGAAACGGAGAAAACAGGAAAGCGGGTAGCCGCTTTCCTTATCATGCAGGCTTTCTACAAGGAAAGCACACTTATACGTCGACCGTATAAGCGCTAAGTATCCAATCGCCGAAACCGTTTGTACAAAATTCACTGTCTGGTGCCTCTAGTGAGTAGTAAGCATTACCACATTTTGTCGCTGAACTTCTTCAAATGCTGAACTTCTTCAAGCATACATTCAGCACTGCAGTAATTCCCACGCGAGAGTGACTGAATCACTCGAACAACTTCACTTTTCAAGCGCGGTATGTTTGCTCCTCTCCTTCTGCGATCACTGAGCCAATCATTGCACCATTTCGTTTGCGTACTGGGATCTATGCTGTTAATAAGAAAACCACTCTCATCTCATATATATATATATATATATATATATATATATATATATATATATATATATATATATATATATATATATATATATATATATATATATATGTATGTATATATAAACGCGAGAAACTTGGTTGTTAGCGCCATGTCTGTGTCTTCTCGTCTCAGTCCTGTTCCGGTGCTGTTACTTCTTTCTTTGCCATTATGGAGCTTTATATTCTGCTCTTTTCAGATGACACGAGAGATTTCTGCGTGCGCAAAGTGGTACACACAGCTCGCATTATCTTGCATAATAAATTAATTTTTTTTCCATGACCGCCGGTGGTTTCTGTCACCTAACTTTCGGTACGCGAAACCTATAGCTCCCCATTATTTTACAACTCTGAGCCTCCGCAAAAATCTGCGATCTACACATGACTGTGTAAAATGATATAATATAATCACCTTTATTTTATGGTGTTTGTCGATGTTCCGTACAGTGTTGAGGTGGGCAGAAGACGTAAGGACATACGACACTCCACTTTCTTCCACTTGCTGTTGAAGTTCGTCTGTATAAGGAAGTGAAGCATTAGTTTCAGTTTACTTTCATGGTGGCAGGAATTATATGAATGCACGCTCCAGAAGAGTTCTAATATATATATATATATATATATATATATATATATATATATATATATATATATATATATATATATATATATATATATATATATATATATATATATATATATATATATATATATATATATATATATATATATATATATATATATATATATAATTTACAGGGCTGGGTAGGGCCCTCTTCAGTTTTTCTTCTTTTTTCTTTATCAATTTATTTCTTTATTTATCTGTTTATTTCTATACCCTAAAGGCCCTGTTGGGCATTACATAGGAAGGGGGATTTACATGGGTACATATATTTCAAACAACGTAAACAGAAAAAGAAGTGAAAAAATTAACAAAAAGAAGACAGCGATAACACTGAATTCGCATCATTCGCCAACAAATATATTTACCAACGCGAACAAAATCAGTCACATAAAATACTTATGAGTACGGAATTTATAAAAAATTAGTGAAACACTGAGAAAAATTATATATGAGAACATTGCATGTGTGTTGGGAACCAAGATTGTAAATAAAACGAGGATAACGAGGCACAGGTCATAATGTTACTCGCTATGCAAATAGCCCTGTAGTATCGAGTGAAATATACCGCTCTTCTTCAATGATCTGCCTTACTCTCTCTCCTTCTCCTTTCCCGCCTTATCACAGTCACTAAACTTTACCACTTTCTGTGTATGTATACTATACAGGGCTATGTTATGCGTTGCTAACGTGCCTTGATTGATCGATTGATATGTGGGGTTTAACATCCCAAACCCACAATTTTGTTACAGGGATTACAAACACACGGAAGAGAGAAATGAGTGTATTTGCAATATTTACAAGTAGGTGTAACAATACGATTATGAGAGACGCCGTAGTGGAGGATTCCGGAAATTTCGACCACCTGGGGTTCTTTAACGTGCACTCAAATAAATCTGAGTACACTGGCTGCAGCATTTTCGCCTCCATCAAAAATGCGGCCGCCGCAGCCGGGATTCGATCCGGCTACCTGCGGGTCAGCAGCCGAGTACCTTATACTACCGTGGCGGGGTGACTGGAGATTTGAAGGTGCGATGATCAGCGGGTGATGCTTTAAGTGATGCACTCAACTACCATACGCTTAAATCCTCCAGCATACTAACGGTGAGCTATTTGTGTGCAGCATATACTGTTGATGGTACGCGTATCTCGGAAGTGCTTCGAGTGGTAAATGATTGTTCACGGCAAGGCGTCCGTACTTTGATTTAAAGGGCGTGGTTGCCTGTGCTCACGCATTTGCCTTTATAGACATATCTTCACTCAAGGCTCCCTGGGTGCCACCATAGTCCTCTCTGTCTGGGCTGTTTTTAGTACATGTGACCCTCCAAAAATGCGCTGCCGAGGCTGTTTTTAGTACATGTGACCCTCCAAAAATGCGCTGCCGAGGCTGTGACATCGGCTTTTGTACACTGGTGCAATAGCCTAGAAAGGAGAAAATCCTCCTCTCCGTAAAAAAAGGTCTATATGAGGTTTCAACGTATGGCCCACAGTGTTGCACGTGTTGTGCTCTCATCATGCAGCCAGGAAGACAGCTGGTTATAGCAAGGGCAGAAAGAGAGAGAGATGAACTAGACTGCGTCCAGTTTGCTACCATGTACAGGAAACGTGGTATGCTTCAGTGCTGCAATGGCGGTGGTGTTCAGTAGCCAAGTTGACTAAAACGACACATTATGTAACAGCGGTTGTTTTTTTTTGTTTGGTTTTTTTTTCAATCTAGCTGGCAACCACGAGTATCATGGTTGCCGCTGGTGGCACGGAGGAAGGAAAAGGTAAGGAGAGGCCCTGACGTCACTCGTTGTGAAGCCGCAATGAAGCCGGAAGTCGGCCATATTGAGTAGGCAAATTCTCCTCTCTTGTTTACATATGAATGCGAAGCAGAAGGCGCGACCCCTTCTCCGGCTCGGAAAGCACGTGGGCTGCGCAGCGCGTGTGTCGTGACGATCCAAAACTAATGGAACTGGGCTCATCACTCAGAGCCAGCGGGACACCTTCAGCGAAATCGCTTCGTCCGAGTAATAACAAAGAGTAACAGCTCGCTGACAACGAAGCAACTACGAGAGAACGCGCGCTAGATGCACTGACAACGGCGAGTGCTTTCACATCATTAATTCAGCAACTGTACAGACAACACGATCGGTCGTGTGCCTTCTACGGTTGCATTCCGCCAAGCGACTGACGCAGCGTCCTGCCACTGTGTCCGTGTTCCGCGTGAAACTCACCTGCGTCAGCATTCTGCGACCGTGGTGACTTTGAGCACGGTGCTAGTGACAGTTGAACGTGGTTGCTGTTACGTTGAGATTACATGCAATGCTGGTGGAGAGTGTACCTAGCGGAACAGAAAAGGTGTTTTAATACGCACATGCAGTTTGCTACTGTACGCACACAACACGAAACTACGTATGTGCACATGGTCCTCACGGCGTCTTGCTGGGCTCAACAGCGTCGTCCGTTGTCACAAGCAGGAGCACTGCTCAACCGTCACTGACCTGCAAGGCGTTTGTCGTCATTCAGCTTCGTCATGGTGCCCAACGCCATTTCGCTGAACACTAACTGCTTCATCCGCGTCATCCGCCGCACGACACATGGATATGCACTTGTTCTACGCACTGTTGAAACCCCGTGATGGACAAAGAGATTTGTAAACGTTGCTAAGAGTAATGTAACAGCCAGACGAACACTGCGTAACCAATAACGCGGCGCAGAGCACAGATATTGTCCGCCACGGCTCAGCACGAGACCTGGGGAGGCACACATTCCGCCGCCAGCCGCGGCCGCTCACTGCTAGACCAGCTTCACTGCGCAACACGTAACCATAACAACGCCGCCATTGTGCCTACTGATAATGGCTGCCATGATGTCATTTCCACCACACTTTTTACGCCCTGCACCGGCTGGGCATGCCCTCTCCTTACCTTTTTCCTTCCTCCGTGGCTGGTGGCTACTTCGCACCAAGTTGTCTACCTTGCAGCCCCTTCTGGCGATGTAAATTTCAGGTTGGCTCCATGCGTGCCTTTTGGCTACTTTGGAACCTCTGTTCTGACACATTAACTAGCCATTTGTCTTCATATTTGAGGATGAAGTACGCTGTTCTCAAACTTTTATATCGTTCCAACCACCGCGCGCGATCACCCCCTTCCCCCCTCAACAGCAGGCTGCAGCATCGACACGCGCCAATTATGGCCAATACTTTCACTTGCACGTACCTTTCACGTTTTGATGCGCAGGGCTTTAAATACTCCTGTCTTTTGACGTTTGACAATAATGGTGATGAAGGACTCTTCATTTTTCATTCAAGAACTGTTTACTTCGCACCTTTTACTTCAGAAAGCCAGTACCCATGGCAGACGTTCGTAAAAAGCACATTATCTCTGCATTTTCATTTTTCGCATCCATTGCGGAGCTTTGTTTTTTTAATTTTTACACTCGACCTTCTGGTAATAAGACAGGAGTGCTTCGATGCCACTCCCTCTGCCCCCTTAGTTAATGGGGAAACCTGCGCACGCCTGTGCGCGCTCCAACGCAACGTGCCGTGCGTGCATGCTGCAGCAAGCGTGGGTGGGTCTAGCACGCCGATCAGGCTGCCCGGCATCTGCGCTCATGCTACGTGCAAGTTCCTGAATCTGGTGCGCAGTGCGTGTTATCGGGTGTGAACGCTGGACTGATATTCTGAAAAGCTATTGGTATTATATGATTGACTTGTTGGCTGGAACGTTCAGAAACTGCTGATTGATTGATTGATTTGTGGGGTTTAACGCCCCAAAACCACTATATGATTATGAGAGTCACAGATAGTGGAGGGCTACGGAAATTTCGACCACCTGGGGTTCTTTAACGTGCACCCAAATCTGAGCACACGGGCCTACAACATTTCCGCCTCCATCGGAAATGCAGCCGCCGCAGCCGGGATTCGATCCCGCGACCTGCGGGTCAGCAGCCGAGTACCTTAGCCACTAGACCACCGCGGCGGGGCGTTCAGAAACTGCTGCACATCTAGCAAAGACTCTTCATAATATACAAAAAGAAAATGAAGTTGCTCTCAGTTTATTATATTTTTTATATATATTTGCAGCATATCTGTGACTTTAAGACCAAAAAATCGGAGAAAAATGTTTGTGCTCGTGTTCATATCGTCCTTCTTATTCGAAAGGGTTGCACTTATTCCCCCCCGTCCCCCCAAAATACTTTATACTCATAAGATCTCATTCGTTCTTTTCGGCTGCAAATTTGGTGATGGAATTAAACAGCGTGGATAATTTGACTTTTTTAAGGTAAATTCTAGCTCCTTCACAAATCCACCTAGTGGTGACCCCGAAGAATATATAGCCAGCGTCACAGCGATCGGTGGGCCGTGGTGTTTCATATTCCTTCAAGAATGGGGAACTGTCCACTTATTAAAAATGTTTCGTTTGGCATAATAGTTCACGCGTTTCATCCGTATAGGTAACTTTATGAAGTGGTGACATTTCGCGGGTTTGTGGCATTGCACATGTCAGAGAGGCAAAATATGGGTGCGTAAAAACCTGTACAGTGATCTAAGGACGTCAAAAGCGTAGATTTTGGTAGATTTCGAAATAATTATTTTCTTTTGTTCTGCTTAATCAGGCAAAAGAAGATGTGCATTTGATTTTCAGATGGAGTCGCGTCGTGGTTTCTGTTCCATGACGTGACAAACGGACTTGAACTGGTATAGCGCCTTACGGGAAAGAATAAACGGCTGAGCAGGCCAACACAATATGACAGAGCGCTAACTTCCAACAGAGCTACATTGGCAATTTTCATCATATATCTACACTTGCGCAAGTATGAAAAAGCACCCAAACTTATATAACACCAAGATTAGCCAACACCATCGAAACATCTCAGACATATAGACAGTTTGCTTGAATAAGGAAAGACACTTCATGTCCCGATAGAACCATCGAAAGAGAGCATATATATATGATGCCAGCTCTTGCTATACAATGCGCTTATATTATTTCTCCAGTCAGTCTTCTTGAGCTGGCCTGCTCGGCTGTTTCGTTTTTCCCAGAATGTGCTATAGCAGCTCAAATACGACGAACCAACGCCCTATCTTCAACACTTGCGACAAACAGAAACGTGCGGGGCCGACAAATCTGTGAGTGCTATAATGGTGAAACTGTAACATCGATTAGGTTCGGATATATTAGGCCTCTCCGGTAGACACCAGCGCTGCTCAGTAAGGTACGTCACTTCGATGCCGCGAGAAGGCTATAGAGTTCAAACAAAGAATATCGCATTGGCCGCAGGGAGGCATGCGTTCAGAAGGCATGTGTACTTACTGTCAGTTCGTTGGGAATTGGGGAAGACGACAGTGACGCCGCTAAACGTGAGTGCCCAGGTGGCCACCAGGGCGTCAGCAGTGTTCGGGATTAGCGCAAGCACACAGTCTCCGGCGCGGATACCATGCAACCTGAAGCCCTCGGCAAACCGGCCAGACAAGGACAGCGTGTCGAGGAACGACAAACTTTTGCTGCCGTCAATCTGCGCAATTCCGCCTCTTTTGCAGTATTCAAGACGCGTATGATGCAGTAATGCGAAGCAGCGGGTAATGTGCTGAAATGCTCGAAATTTAACGTATATATAACTCTAACACAGTCCTGTTGGGGAAAGTGGCGGATCCAGAGGAGAGGTGGCAGGGGCGATCGCCCTTCTTCAATTCTGTGCTCGTAGAACACCTTCTATTACCAATTAAGACAAATGAGGGACACCGCTGCGGGCACACAATATAAGTATTGATGGTACAAAGGGCTAGTGAAAAAAAACTCAAATTGCAGAATCTCATTTGGTAGTTGTCAAAGTGGTATGCAAGCGTAGGTGTTTGTTTTAGAAAACCGCACTCTTGAGGCCCTGCCTGGAATGTTGTTGTTGGATGGCGCCGGCACGGCGTATTTGCATCGCCTGCACATTCACTCCTGGGATGACGAACTTTTGGTTAGAATGAGTCACGTAACACGTGTCTGTTATCTGGCAGTCAACCAAGGCCATATATTTGCAATACGATGTCAAGAAAAAAAAAAACATTTTTTGCGTCCGTGCCTCTGTGTTCAACAACATCACGCACAGGAATATCTTATATCCTAATGTAGCACTCGCCAACGTCTGGAACAATGCCCTAGCACGCACCCTGCGATGACCAAAATGCATCCTATGGCACTAAATTTTCGTGAACTCAACGCATTTCGTGATGAACTTTATGCATATATGACATTTATCAGGCAGAGGACAACATGTGCCACACCATTAAAATTAAACTCTGAGTGCTGCACAGCGTAAAATTTGTGGTTCCTTCACTCCGTAGTCGGCCGTGGCGGAGTAAGAGCTCGATAACAAAAAATAAACGTTTTTTTTTCATTTGCATCAGCAAACACAGTATCGCACAATCCTTTTTTCACTTAAATATTATTGTCTCTGCGTAAACACAGTAAAATAAAACATTTTTTTTTCACTCAGGTAGAAATAGCTGCGCTGTATAATACGTAAAGCATATGTGTGCAACCTAGCCTTGTGAAGTCCCTCCAGCGATCACTTACCAGTGCTGTTTTCACTCGGAAACCTTCAACGTTGTTCTTGACGAAACTAAAGAGCGAGCACTCCGGAATCTCGCAGACTGCGTTAGGAAAATAGACGATCCCATCCTTGATGTTCGGTTCCATTATCTGAAAGAGATAATTAAACAATGACACTACTTGAATTCAGGGCAGGTAAAAAAAAAACCACGGAGCCAAACCACGAGATTGAAGTAACTAGAAGAATAAGAATGCGGTGGAGCACATTTGGCAAGCACTCTCAAATTATGACAGGTATAGATTGCCACTATCCCTTAAGAGGAAGGTATATAACAGTTGTATCTTGCCGGTACTTAGCTATGGAGCAGAAACGTGGAGACTCACAAAGAGGGTTCAGCTGAAATTGAGGATGACGCAGCGAGCATGGAAAAGAAAAATGGTAGGTGTAACCTTAAGAGACAAGAGGAGAGCAGAGTGGATTAGGGAACAAACGGGGGTTAAGGATATCATAGCTGAAATCAAGAAGAGAAAATGGACATGGGCCGGGCATGTAGCGCATAGACAGGATAACCGCTGGCCATGAAGGGTGACTGACTGGATTCCCAGAGAAGGCAAGCGAGTTAGGGGGAGACAGAAGGTTAGGTGGGCAGATGAGATTAAGAAGTTTGCGGGTATAAATTGGCAGCAGCAAGCACAGGACCGAGTTAACTGGCTGAACATCGGAGAGGCCTTTGTCCGACAGTGGACGTAGTCAGGCTGCTGCTGCTGATGATGACTACTTGAATTCATTAAGGCACTAACGAGCAAGATAAATAAATTCAACTTGAAATGCTTACTGTGCATGCTCATTGTATTGCCGTCGAAAACCACCAGCGTACGGGTGCACTAAGTGCCCATTATAGATGCATTTATGGCCAATGAGAGATCAGCCATGGAAGCAGATTCCAAAGAACAACCAGCGAATGAGGGCTATATGCATGGTGCTTCGCCAACTGTGACGCGAAAGAACGACTCGAAGGTCTACTTGCCTTTCAATTCATTTAAGGCTAGGATAGGGTGTGCACTCTAGCTAAGACGTCAGCGGCACGGTGGAAGCCCGGGAGGCCAGCATTGGGCGTGTCAACAGGAATATGGGCTCTTGACTATAAAAGCTCCGCCCGGAATCTCTCAACTGACCTAACCTAAATGGGAACTTTTCTTTCTCTCTCACTCACCTTAGCTACGCGCTTTTGTTTGTTTTCTTTGTATCCTCCTGGCACCATGAACTGAAGGAGTCATTGTAATACAATATATCGATACGGTTCATTTTGTTGTAGGTTTGTGTGCCCTGTGCTATCTTTATTCACAACGGCAATTGTTTGTGCAAATCGCGCGGTCATCATCATCAGCCTGACTACGCCCATTGCAGGGCAAAGGCCTCTCCCATGATCTGCCAATCAACCCGGTCTTGTGCTTTTCGTTGCCATGTTATACCTGCGAACTTTTTAACATCTTATCGGCCCACCATACTTTCTGCCTTCTCTGGGAATCCAGTTAGTTAATCTTAATGATCTGCGGATATCCTGTCTGCGTGCAACGTGTCCGGCCCATGTCTATTTCTTCTTCTTGATTTCAGTTATGACATAGTTAACCTCGGTTTGTTCCCTGACCCACTCTGCTCTCCTCTTGTGTTTTAATGTTATATTTATCATTTCCCTTTCTAACGCTTGCTGCATCATCCCTCGTTGTAAACCTCCACGTTTCTGCTCCTTAGGTAAAAGAACAGGCAAGATGCAGCTGTTATGTACCTTTCTTTTGAGGGTTAGTGGTAGATTATCATTCATGATCTGATAATGCTTGCCGAATGTGATCCACCCCATCCTTATTCTTCTAGTTATCTTACTTTCATGGTTCGGCTCTTCGGTTACTACCGGTGTTAAGCAGACATATTCCTTTACAACTTCCTGCATCTTTCCACCCGTAGCGAAGCGTTGTTTTGCGATAGGTGGAAAATAAAACATTCTTCTTCTTCTTCTTCTTCTTCTTCTTCTTCTTCTTCTTCTTCTTCTTCTTCTTCTTCTTCTTCTTCTTCTTCTTTTTCTTTTTCTTTTTCTTTTTCTTTTTCTTTTTCTTTTTCTTTTTCTTTTTCTTTTTCTTTTTCTTCTTCTTCTTCTTCTTCTTTTTCTTTTTCTTTTTCTTTTTCTTCTTCTTCTTGTGATAAATATATAGAGCCCCCCCCCCCCTCTCGTCGCCTTTCTCAATCTACACTCAATCTACACTACAAAATCTCAATCTACACTACAAAAAATAACTCAAGGAGTACCGCAAGGTAGCATACTGGGGCCCATACTATTCAACATTTATATCAATGATATAACAAATATTTCTAATGACGCTGACTTCATAGTTTATGCAGATGACACCAGCATTTTCTTGAGATCAAGTGACATAAGTACTCTCTCGGTCATCTCTAACAGTGCACTGAAATGCTTAGCCGAATGGAGCTTCGTTAATTCATTAAAACTGAATACAGCAAAAACTAAGGCGGTCCTTTTCACCCCGCCGCAACGACATGATCTTAAAGATTTCAGATTGGAGCTTGGATCTGCTCGCATAGAACTTGCATCAAACGTCAAAACCTTGGGAGTTGTTTTTAACAATCATCTCATTTGGAATGATCATGTTGATCACATTGCCACCCGTTTAGCGAAAGCCTGTGGGGTGCTCTGTAGACTGCGCTATACTTTACCGAGGAGCGTTAAACGCATGATTTATAACGCCCTATTTTCCCCTCACTTAACGTATTGTCAGTTAGTATGGGGTGACACTACAAAAGTCAATTTACATAAGTTGAGTGTGCTTCAGAAAAGAGCAGTTCGTCACATAGCAAATGTTCAGTATGATGCCAATACTGGAGAACTATTTTCCACCCTTAAGATCTGCCCCCTCGAAAATTTCTATAACGTTAACCTCGCTTTAAAATGCCAAAAATACTTCCGATGCAACAACCATAGTTTTTTGTTATTATGCAAGCTGACTATACCTAAAGCTATCTCATATAACATAAGGGAGAGAGACAGATGGCTCATACCTTTTTCGCGAACGAAATATGGGATGAGCAGTCTGTCATACCTTGTGCCACGCTTGCTCAACGAATTTGAAAGAAATGGCATTTGCATACAAAGATCTTCAAGAAGTGCAATAAAACGGTATGTGGGTGAGCACTTATCTTCAAAGTAGTAGTGCGCGTTACGTTAAGTTATTTTTTATCAAAAAATTTGCCTGTTATACAAGCTTCTCAGTTTGTTAAGATGTTTACATACATGATGCATAATGGTCTTTATTGCGCATACAAATTTTGTACATCTCATTTGTGCGAAATAACCTGTGTATTCCATTATTCTACATTATTTCCGCTTGCGTTATGCACTGTTTCATGATTTTTCTGCTAGATGTGATAACCGAAAATGTTTAATAGAAATGTGAAATTAGAGATGTTTAAATGCATGGTAGGTTGTTTTTGGCTGTCGAGAATTGGGGCAAGGACCTTTGTCAAGCTGCTGTATAGCAGCTTTTTGTTCTTGTCCTCGTGTTCATTATCTTGCTGTAATGAATGCCAAATAAAATTGATTGATTGATTGATTGATTGAAATATGATGTACACACCCAGCCTTCGTGACTGGAACTATCCAGCCTCTGCCGGAATCAATCGTAATTCCGAGAATATAGGATCAGTTTGGATTGACGGTGCACTTATACTAAAACATTTCGTGAACGTAGTGGTAGTGGACATTATTGCATAGGAAAATTCAATCCGTGTAGTGTAAAATATAGTGCAGCGCGAAAAGCAGACAACGAACGAGCAAGGAGATGAGGATACAACGAATTCTTCGAACCAAAGTTTATTAGATTGTGATGCACGTATATATACACAGACAAAGCAAGAAAAGATCAAACCGGGGAGTTAAAATCAAAAGGTGAAAATCTAGAGAACTGCCGATAAGTCACACACGTGCATTAATACTGCCCCCCCCCCCTTCCCATGACTCACCAAAAACAAAAGCCCTTTGTCAGGAAGGTGCAAGAAAGGCGTGCTTACGCATGCGTCCCCAGACCGTTTGATTTCCTCAGCCTTGACAATTTCCCTCACCCTTTGGTCTCGATTCCGTACAAGGACCACGATGTTTTCAAAGATAGGGCTACACTTTCAGTCCCGCACATGGATGCCGAGGGGACACTATACATCAGTGTAAACGTTATATTGGTGCTCAGAGAGTCTGTCATTCAGACAGCGTCCCGTCTGACCCACGTACTTTCCGCCACACGTTAGAGGGATGACTCCTTGAATGCATGGTACGGACTTTCTTAAGCCTGTGCGAGATATCATGCACATAGGGCACCACAGCGGTCTTCTTATTTTGCGCCCTCGATATCACTCTGCGCTCCTCCTTTCTCCTGGGATACGAGACATTCCTAAGCACGCCTTCAGTCACAGGCAACACCACGTCCGGCGTGAACCCTGCGACCTTAAGGCGGGTCACTTGCTACAAAAAGGCGTCTTCCACCTGGTGGTGATGCGACTTGCATAAGGCCTACTGCAAGGCTGAGTGCGCGATTGCTCTTTTCACTAGCTTCGAGAGCCCCGACATGAAGGGCAGC